TTCTACAATAAATCTGAAAGATACAACACGGTGAGAGCTGAGCTAGTAAGCCGAAGAAACCAAGGAGAAGACGAAGTCTCCAACAGCAGAGTGTATTTTCCAATGGTACACGGAAGCCAAGTCATTTCAACAAGAAGCGTTTCAAACAAAAATTATGTACAATATGTCTAATTTCTACAAATAACCGAAAAGTGTACAATCACATTGTTACGCACTCCACATATCTGCTGACCAGCATGTGGCACCCTCCCTCCTCTTTTGATGCTAAGCTCTGAGACCTTTAGCAATAACTGCAGTTGTAGCACTGCATTACTTTGACCCCGTCCCAATCATACAGTATGCTGCACATTAATAGTTTTCATGACAATTGCTTCCTATTAGGTCACCAGATACATCGATACCTGAGGACATTCTTAGCGGTATCACCTTTACACGTGCATACATGTACATAAATAGTTATTACAAACGACAAGGAAATTAAGTTCCCCTTAAAAGTTTATCGAGTATAGAAGTAGTTAGCATCACAGCAACTAAGTTAGAGTCTATTTAGCGGAATGAAATGGGTAGTGGAACAATTAGTGATAATGTTATGAAGAGTGGTCCTGAGGAAAACAACTGGTTATGCTAAATTTTCATGACCGATTTTTATATGGCGTGCGTTTTACATTGCGAGGTGACTCATCAACTTGTGGAAAAAACACTGCAAGATGTTATAAAATTATAGGTTTTTGGAAATTGAATGAGATGTAGTTATTTACCGAATGTAGTCATTTCAACGCAAAAATACTACAGTACTTTATACTAATTATATCTGTACATATGTAAAATATTAAAAGGTATGATTGCCAATATAATAGTTTCTGGAAATACTTGCACTGACCCAGCTTATTGAAGATTACAGGGAAGAGAAAATCGGTGAGTCGTTTAAACGGTTGCTGCATGGTTAGTAGTTAATTATTTTAAAAAACAAGAGGTATAGGAGTTTTGAGTACTAGAGAAAATTAAGTCTACTGGAGGTGTGGAAGGAGGGCAAGGTACCCGAGGATTGGAAGAAAGACTACTTATTCAAACTGCCAAAGAAAGGAGACTTAGGTCAATGCAAGAACTGGCGCGGAATTATGCTCCTGTCCATCCCAAGCAAAATACTAAGCCGCATCATCCTGGAGAGAATCAAACATGCCAAGCTGAATGGAAAACTTCGACCGGAACAGGCTGGATTCAGGAGTAACAAGTCATGTATTGATCAAATCGCCACACTTCGGGTCATCATTGAACAGAGCTTGGAATGGCAGTCACCTCTTTATCTCAACTTCATCGACTTTGAAAAGGCCTTCGACAGCGTCGATCGAGAGGTGATTTGGCAACTACTTCACTACTACGAGGTGCCGCCGACAATTATATATCTCATCCGACAGTTGTACGACAATGCTGCATGCCAAGTAATCCATAACGGGAAACTTACGGAATCCTTCGAAGTAAAGACGGAAGTAAGACCAGGTTGCCTACTATCGCCAATGGTTTTTCTGACTGCGGTAGATTGGATAATGCGACAGACAGCGGGCAGCGATGAAACAGGCATAAGATGGACCCTCATGAAAAACTTGGAGGATGTGGACTTCGCCGATGTGGTATATACGTCTGATTTCCCACAAACTGGAAGATATGCAAGTGAAAAGCAACAAGTTGGTAGAAGAAGCATCAAAGATAGAACTCCAAGTAAACATAGAGAAAACAGGGGTGATGAAGATTCCTGGGTAACACCAACAGCAGACAACAATCAGCATAAATGGGAGGAACCTGAAAGAAACAACCTCCTTTACCTACCTGGGAAGCATCGTTTCAACTACAGGTGAAACTGACGAGAATATCAAAGCAAGGATCGGGAAAGCAAAACAAGCTTTCATTTCTCTCAAGTCTGTGTGGAGGTCAACAGCACTCAGCATCAAAAATAAGATCCGGATTTCCAACTCCAGTGTGAAATCAGTGCTACTATTCGGATCGGAGACTTGGCGCGTCATAAAGAGCACCTCAAACAAACTACAGACCTTCATCAACAGCTGTCTTCACTCAATACTCAAAATCAGATGGCCAGAAAAGATCAGCAACAGGGATGTCTGGGAGCAAACCAACCAGGAACCGATTGTGCAACAAATAAGCAGGAAGAAATGGAGGTGGATTGGCCATACTCTGAGGAAACCATGAAGTGACATCACTAGACAAGCCCTCGAGTGGAACCCGAATGGGAAGCGGCGAGTTGGTCGTCCAAGGGTGACTTGGAGGAGGTCATGTGAAGAGATGAAAGCATGTGGGTAGATGCGGAGCCAGGTGAAAACTCTAGCAGAGAACCGAACGCAATGGAGACGTGCAGCTGAATCCCTATGTTCCTCTAGGAATTAGAGGAAATAATAATAATAAGAGCAAATTAAGTCACAATCTACAGAGTAGAATGAAATGAGTAGCGGTACGATTGGGGGTAAAGGTAGGTTGAATGAACTTGAGGAAAGTAGTTGGTTGGTTGGGCCTAATATTGCTAAGTTTTTATGAGCAAGTTTTATATGGCATGCTTTAGACATTACAAAGTACCAGTTTGCTTGTATTATGGAAAAAACTATTACAACCACTTTAGGATTATACGTCCAGGATAATTATAGATAGTCTTATGACTCTAAATCTGTTTGATGAAATATTGACAGGATTTCTAATAAGCTGAATAACCGAAACTTAGTTGAAGCACTGTGAAAAACATTGGGCTGGTTTTATCACGTTTTAGATGCAGTGCGGAGGCTGAGACAAACGAATTTCCTCAAATTGGGGGTATTGCACTGGGTCCCGTAGCACTAAAATTAATTGAACAGCCTGTGTGGGCATAAGTATGGATAAGCAGAGCGAAGCACTTTTGCTGACAGGAGCTCATTAAGGACGCTTTGGAATTCAGTAGGAGACCGGCAACTACGTACAGTAAGTGGAAGTTCGTTCCATAATTCACTGTCCTGTATTCTGAAGAAACGTGAGCGCAGTTTTGCCCGGTACCGGGTTATGGATAGAGTACGTTCATGATTCCTTAGAGTATATATGGTTGTATTGCTGAAAGCTTTCGGGTTAAAGCTTTTGATGTAGCCGTGTAAAAGGCGAAAGAGGAAAGTTAGGTTGAGTTTCAGGCGTCTTAACCAAAGTGTCTGAAGTCCATTTTCACGTAAATAACTCCCTCATGTTTGTGTAATAGGCGTCGTGTAAAGCTTCGCGGGATATTTTCAATACGAACCCTATCATACCCATGCATAAAACCGAAGGCGATTGTGCAGCATCCAAGTACTGGACGGACCATGACTTTGTGTAATAGGACTTCAGCCTCATTTGTGTACATTTTTCGGTGTAACAAGCCTGTGAGGCTTCGGCATTTAGAAACAACTGATTTTGCGTATTGACTGAATGTTAAGTTTTGTGAGTAGGTAACGCCTAGGTCTTTTATAGAATTGAGGGTTTGGAGAAAAGAGTCACCTAGATGTAACCTGAAATTCGGATGGGAGTTTTCGAAGTGTAGGATACCACATCAGAATGGAATCGCAGTTGCTCATCATTGCCCCAGTTATGTAACCTATCCAGATCTTCTTGAATATGTATGAATCCCCTATTCAGAGTAGGATAGGGGAAACTGTGTGCAATCTTTAGGTCGTCAGCAAAGAGGTATGGGGTATCATGCTCGATTACACTACAGATGTCGTTAGTGTAAATTACCAAAAGCAATGGCCGTAGCACTCTACGATCCATTCAAACATTCTGTCAGCACTTTCTGCTAACTCGTCTATATCTATGTCTTCATCTCCAAATGCTAATACTTGCTGAATTTTGTAATGTAACCGCCTTAGCCACAATTGATAGAAAAACCTGGTGTCTATCTTCCGATCTCCTAGAATGTTACACAAATGGCTTTTGAGTTGAGAAGGTGTTCTGTCACCCAGACTAACATTGCTGAGCAGCTGATCAGTATCTCGCTGGTCTGATAATGAAGCAACCTTAATAACCTTCTGCTTTAAAACATCGTACGGAGTTTTTGGATCTGGATTTATGAGTGTCTCCCGTACTCTCTCTGCTACTTCGTCCGGTAAGATGGAGCTTGTATAGCCAAATTTTGTAG